CACTAAACGACCACAGAACTCTCTGTGGAACGAAATTCTTCGAATCCCATGGGAATGCTCTAGTTTCTGCATTTCGAATTCCTTGGGAAAAGCTCCAAGCACTTTTCGACGTATGTGCCGAAAATGAGAAAGATTCTTGCCTTTTGTACTTTACCAGTCGATGAACTAGCGTCACTACTCGACAAAGAAAGCAACTTACTTGGCTGAAGCCTTCCTGGCAGAACTTGTCATTCGATCGATATTCTTCCTTGAACCACCTGGAAATCCCAGATGAGTTCTTTTTCTATGAACTAATCGTAAAGAAAGAGCACCAGTAACCAAAAGCTGAGGCATGTTTGTTCTAAACAGAAATTTCTACCTCTTTCAAGAGCATTTCGAGAGCGTTTTGGAGTTCGCCTGTCATCCTTTGTAGGGTGAAATGAGCTCGGAAGAAATGCGAAATCAGCACAATCGTCATCGGTTGGAGGGTTTTTCTGAATATAAAGGCTCTTGAAATCACACATCGAATAAATGGCATGCAGCGAGTGTTTCATAGAGAACGTTCATCTGACAATAAAATATTCCAGACAACTAAGAAAACGCTTTTGAACGAATCGAGTCACAGTTGTTTCTTTCTAGACCAAGGAAACTATGGTAGATTCAACTATTAAAGCAACTTTCCTGAGATGCACCTTGTAACTCAGCGCAATTTATCTACAAAATAGGAAAGAAGGAACAAGGATCAAGTGCTCACCGTTGATCGATCATTTCGGGATGCGTTACACATTTTTTACCAATCAAAGTCGCAGCTTGTTATTGAATACGATAAGGCGACACAATGAACTACGGGGCAAGCGGTATACAGGTCAGCGTTCTTATCCTTCCAAACGAATCTGGTACCAGTTTACCGTCCCCAGGTGATAGAAAGCTTGGTTGGCCTTGGTGGGAGCAGAACCGGGAATGCCCAAACAGCGTGCGTTGTGAGGGTGCTACTTGCCACCTCACTACTTCCGCCTTTATCTTATTGTCTTCTATAATGCTTCTGCTCAAGACGGAGCTGGTGAGGGGCGAGTATTACGTTTGTCACGCCGCGATCCCTGAGTTAGATCACAGATCGCTTTTAGTGCAGCATAACCAAGTCTTACATCCTCCGGGACGATAAACTGGTACCAGACTTGCCTGAGAGGATTCTGAATGGAAGTGAAAGCGTGCTGCGCTAATAAAGGATAAAGGATAAAGTCTTCGCCGTTGATCAATCCCTTTGTGGGATGCGGCACGCATTCTACTTCCATTCAGAATCGTAGTGGCTTATTGAATGCGATGTGGCCTATACAATGACTTGCGGTGGCCAGCCGATGTACAAGTCAGTGTTTTATCCTCCCAGACGAATCTGGTACCAATTTACCGTCCCCGGAGGGTAGAAGGCTTGGTTGGCCTGGGCGGGAGTCGACCCGGGATTTGAACCCGGCGCCGCGCGAGTGGTAAGCGCGCCACTTGTCACTACACCACCTCCGCCTCGCCGCGCTAATATAATATCGAAAATAAACCGGGAAAGTTTGAGTGGGAGGTTGTGAATGACGCAGTACAGGATAAAAAGTGAATCAGAAATAATGCATAAGACAACAAAATCTGCTCATTAAACGAACCTGAGGCTCTTTTTCCACGTCGCGTTTATCCAGCTTTGAACTCGTCTCATTATCCAGGCTATCCATACGCATGATTGACTGGATGTCATATAGTGGCAATTCATCTTCATCAGCCCAAATCTCTAGAAACTACTTCCTGTTTCACAGAAATTCATAAACCGGAAGCACTTCATACAAACAATGTTTCGAAGGAGGACACCGGAAAATGTGAAAAGACATCATGAATGTATTACTCATTCCTTTCAAGTCGCTTTTTTTCCGACAACTGACTTTAAGTCACCTCTGGGAAATTATTTACATTTTTCAGGGGTTAGAATAATTTCTAGGAAGTGTGTGACACGATGTTAACCGCTTTCCTTTTTTCAAAACTCAACAATGACAGCTGAACATTTTTCAAGATAGTAACGAGTCGCTACAGCGATTTCCCTCTTACGATTATGAAGTAACTTTGGAACGTATTGGGTAATCTCATTCGAAAACGAGACATAAGAGAAATGGCAGGAAAGCAAGAGGGGGGGCAGTAGTGTTGTGGTCTATCATATCGTTGTAAAGATACCTTCAGCTACGTTTGGGTAACATTTAGCTAACCTCCCCACAGCGAAAATCTTGTGAATTTCAAAAGAGAGCAGAATGATCAAACCAGCGCTCATTATGGAATCAAAGCTGTTCTCGGAACGGAATGTCGAAGATTTGGTTCAGAATCAAGGAAGTAGGATCGGATAAAAGTTTTGGCCGCGCTCAGAGCGTAAAGGCGAAACCTCCGGAATAATGGATAATAATTTTCGACGATTAACAAAGATTCTTCACTGAAAACCTGACGTACAACCGGTAGAACCAAAGCAGTGAACTTTTAAGGCTTTGAAGGAGCGGTAAAGCCGAAATCTAATCCATGTAAACTTGTAACAATCTTGGAAGGCTCCATAAAGAGTTTTGTACTGATTTACAATAAAGCCGATGGTGGAACAAAAAAAATGGAACTTCTAAAACACACCTTTTCGAGGACGCAGACTCATTTCAAGTGTAGGCTTTTCTCTGAGAAGAGATTCATATTCCGATGTGGACAATAACGGAATAAACTCTTGATCATCGTCACTTTGAGGGTGGTGGACATCTCTGAAACGAGAAATACATTAATAGAAAAACAAGGCACATACAGACTGGAAGTCTTGCAAGCAAATATTCTCACATCTCAGCTTCAAATAGCCTTCTGAGCCGAGCCCGTTTGCGATGGGAAAGACGAGGAGTGTTCGATGAAGACATCGGATTGCTTTTTATAGAACGAACGCTCTGCGTAGTGCTGGCTAATGGAGTATGTTCCATCTGACGTGCAGGAGTGGCAATCTGGAAACGAGAATGCTCAGCAGCCGTTCATTTGAAATGGTTTTCGATTAGTATTACCTGTTCCTTCTGATTCTCGGTATCACTACAAAATTCATATTCATTGAGGTCTTTCGCTGGTTTTGCCATAGGAAGTATAAAAACATCTCCAAGTGGACGTCGCTTTTCCGCCAAAATACGACGAGAAATAGGATCATTTGCAAGACACACATCAAATGCATTTCTAAAAAAGGTTAACAGAAGTCGTATAAAAAAGCACAGAGAAAAACATTGACATACTGCGATTGATTCTCTTTGGAGTCATCTGCAATCATGGAATTCGAGGGCCACTTCTGAAAATAAAAAGCAATGAAGCAATGGATGACGCACCTTCATGCGACTCTAATGAGGATTTGTGCGCATCAGCGTTTGGGGAGGGTCGGCATATTAAGCGAAAAGGAAAGTATAGGTATCGATCGGCGCCCACAACGCCGACTCGCTCAAACTGCTGATTCTCCCAAAATGCCGGGTCGCAAAGTATGAACAGTATGCAGCCTTTGCAAAATGTCGAGCAGATATTAACTGTTCAGCAAAAATGCAAGGATAGTTGGGCGGATTTGTCGTTCGGAGAAGGCATATTGCTGTTCTTCGCCCTCCAACTGGAAGGCGGACAAGACAATCGTAATTTGCCGTGTCGCCGCGCGCGGCGTATGGTGCAGCGGCAAGTGACGCGAAATGGGTCATTTGTCGACTGGAGCAACGAAACTTGCATAAGTTCAGGGGAGACAAGAATTCATGACAAGCAATTTCGAGCTTTCCCGTCCCTTTGACACTCAATTTCATGCAGCCGAAGAGAACTCATTTGTTGGGCGCGGCGCGTTCGCCCTGCCCACTATAGCGGCATGTCACGATAGTCTTATCACACACCCCTTTCAGCTACAGCAGCAGTCACAGTAAGTCGCGACAAAAATAATACATGAATAACAAAAAGGAGCCATACCTTGTAGTTAATAATGGTGTCATGAAC